TTTGAAAACATATCATATGCATCTTTTCCTTTCTGTGGGAGGCCTTCATCCCTGCAGTCCAAAACTTTCAAAGACCCACTCCAGATTTTCAAAAAATATTCCTCATCAAGTTGTAATTCTTTCCCGCAGTCAACTTCACCGTTATGTAGACAAGCAGTGAATCCTGTTTGGATCACAATAAACTTTATGTCCTTACCCTCCAGGATGCTTTGGATTTTCTCCATATGGTGGGAGTTAAATATTGTCATGTGATCTATCACGAGACAATCTCCAGCTTTAAAATTCTCTGAGAAGGAAAAGAATTTTTCTAAATTCTTATCCCTTGTGTCAATTTTATTAAGATCTACATAATGAATTCTGTTGTCTTCTTTACTCCTGCAGTCTAAAACATCATACAGAACTGTAGGGTTTTTCCCATTCCCTGTATTCCTGTAACACAATTCCAAATGTTCCTACACTTCTTGTAAATACGATCAATCAATTTGATGAAAACATCATGGAATTTGGTTTTTATAAAGCATCTTCCAGCTTTAAAATCAGATATATCGGCAAAAAGTTTCGCCTCCTCGTCTTCAGTTACATGTCGAATACTTCTCTCAAACTCATCCAACTTACTTCGAATCTGAAGGGAAAAAAATACAATATGAGAATATTTGATAAGTCAAGCTCATGCTGTAAACATTATATTACATGTAGCTGTATTGATGAAATTAATTTGCTAGTGTAAAACTTTGATAAACTTTTTTTATTATGTTCCCTAATAAAATGAGATAGTAAGACATTACATCCTTCATAAATGTTTACCTCTACATAGTTTTATACAGTGCATTATACGCCCGTCAATTATTGTTCGAGTGCAAGAAAATCATGTCAACCTTGATTCAAAGATTTCCTCAATTTTTTCATTCCTTATCATACTTTATGTTTATACATCTTATTAAGTGTAGTCATATAACATGATAAAAGAGACCCATGGGCATTTTTGGTCACCTGTGCATCATGTAACAACTTTCCAACAATTGAATTTGGGTCATGCTTCATGCTTTAAACCAGAGGCCATGACATTCCCTGTTTTAAACGAGGCACCACTGCTTATCATAACTATACACCTAGCATGCAAAAGTTTGGTTACTTGATACCCGTACACAGTAGTGCTGTACCAATAATCAGAAAACATTGATTGTTGAAGAAAAAATGCTACCGATTCTGATGATCAATTATCATTTTTCATAATCGATCATCGAAAACACATATCTTGTAAAATACATTCGGACCAGGGTTCTCATTAAGTGCCAAAACCTCCAAAAAAAATTGTTATTTCCAGTGCAAATCCCTGTGTATACTTAAAATTCGTTTTGGGACGATTCTGTGGTGAGAGCTTGTCCCGAGACACAGTAAGATAATTCTAACTACCGATAGAAATACAGGCGCATCACTATTTTCTAACAAAAAATAGTAAGGGTGACATCTGTATGGATTTCAATTATACTTGCATATTTTTTTAATAACTGTGACAATACAGCGTACATATATTTAGTACATATCTAGTTAATAAGCTGTAGACACTCAGACTCTTTAAATAGTATCCCATACATCCAAACAATGTTTTTAATTAAAAAAAACGGCTACGAAAAAGCAACATTTTTAAAAAAAAAATCTCTATTCACAGCATACATGTATTACAAAAATCAAGGAAGTTTAGATCATCAAAGGCTGTGTGCTACTCCTGTGATTTTTTTTTTTTTTTTTGATTTTTTTTTAGCAAAATGGGCTCCTAAAAAGTGTCATATTGAGAACAAATGAAACAAGTCAAAATATGCCCAGATAGGTCCCAGAAGCCACCTCCTGCAATGTAAGAATTAAAAATTTTAAGGGGGGGGGGGGCGGACCCCCCGCTTGACAAAAGGGGGGAAACCTCCCTCTCGGACTCACCCCCTTCGGGCCGTTGTCCCTCGAATCGGGCCTTTAGCCCTCAAGTCTGAAGTGCTACCTACTTTTTCTCCACCTACTGTAGAAATTAACGAGAACCCTGCATTCCATATCTATGCATTCAGTATATAGTGAAAATGCATTTATTCTTTGAAAATCTTCTTCTCTGCTTCTGGGTATTAAATAAACTAACTAAGCACATAGTTATGATGAGCAAGAGTGCCTTTTCCAAAATTATGAATTTTATGACCCCAGGGTCAGAGGTTCTGGTGTTAGGGCGGGGCTCTATTGAATATGTAGTGAAAATGCATTATTTTTGAAAATCTTCTCTGCTTCTGGGTATTAAATAAACTAACCTGATTATGCAGTAGATACAGAGAAAGATCCTCGTCCAGTGGTGAAGAAGCTCAGGGGGTATTCGCCAACGAAACCTGAGTTGGATCAGAGGTTCACGATCAAGGCTATCAGTAATTGTGGTTCCTTCCAGCAAGATATTGAATGGAGGCACCCCTTGCCTATTCCTTCTGGCAGCCGGCAAAAGTGGCATCACGCCATATTCCAAAAGAATACGGGTCCTCTCTGTAGTGACAAGATCGAAGAAAACAGAGTGTTCCGAGGTCTCTTCTCCCGAGAATGGATGAAGACTGCTACATCTGGTAGGTAGCAGAGGAGACTGGAGGTTCCATAGTTCCACCGGAAACTGACTCGGGGCCTCCTCTTCCAGGATCAAAGAAACAGATGGCGGGTGGAAGCACACAAGGCAGCGGGGTAGGCAAACTCCCAGAGAACTGAGTTCTTGAGGTCTGGAAGATCAGTGCTGGGGGGTGTTGTGGAGTCCAGGGGCTTCTCTACAGATTCCTAGGTCTCAGAAGAGGTAGATGGGATAGGAGTCTCAGGAGCAGGAGGGTTTGAGTCAAGAAGAGGCTGCGTTGTTACAGGAAGAGAGTCTGCATCCTGCTCAATCGTACATACCGGAATGGCAATTAGAGGACCACTATCACCAGATGCAAATACTGGGACCGGGGAAATTCACTGGTTGACACTTCTGTCCGAGATTCTTGCAGAAAACAGGCGGATGGTTTGGATGGAATGTAGGGAGGTGGAGAGGCTCTCTTCCAGATGGATTCTATTAATTTTGCATCTACCCCAAGCAGCTTGACATTTCCTTCAATAGAATGGGTGAAGAGATAGGAGAAAACGGTCGAGAGCTGGAAGAAAGGATCTGGGTGGATGTTCTGCGACTTCCTCATCACTGATGACAGTATCTGGGGGTTACGGCTGGCCTCTGATGTCATCTTAATGTTGAACACTTCGTCTTCTTCTGACGTAACATGTACCCTGATTCACCCCCCTTCTAAGCTGATAGCCTTGATCGTGAACCTCTCATCAAACTCGGGTTTCGTTGGCAAATACCCCTTGGGCTTCTTCACCACTGGACAAGGATCTTTCTCTGTATCTTCTGCATAATCAGGTCTGAAGTGTTCTTCAGGTGTTAGCGGCGAACCTCTTCCCTCCTCCCAACCCTGCCCAAATTCCCTGAGTTTTCTGCTGCTCAGTCCATTGTTCCTCACCCAGGAGACCATTTTCAGTCTTGCCCGAATGGCCGCCTTGCTTCTCCAGGAGTTTGGTTGTACAATCTTCTTGTAATCAGAGGGATGCAAGGACAACCAAAATCCATTCGCCTCTGAGTAGAAGTCATTTGGTACGTCCTTCAGCCTTCCCATCCCCTTGTTGGCCTCCAGGACATGGACTTTTAGATCTGCCATTCTTCTCAGTCTTCTCACGTTTTTAGCTCACCGGAGCCAAAGGCTCAAGTGAGCTTTTCTGATCAAAATTTGTCCGTTGTCTGTCGTCGTTGTCGTTGTTGTTGTAAATTTTTCACATTGTCATCTTCTTCTCAAGAACCACTGGGCCAATTTCAACCAAACTTGCTACAAAGTATCCTTTGGTAAAGGGAATTCAAGTTTGTTCAAATGAAGGGCCACGTCCTCTTCCAAGGGGAAATAATTGTGCATTAGTGAAAAATCAATGGCGTCCTTTGAAAAATCTTCTCAAGAACCACTGGGCAAGGAAAGATGATATTCATGTGGAAGCATCCTCATATAGTGTAGATTCTAGTGTGTTCAAATCATGACCCCCGGGGGTAGGGTGGGGCCAAAATGGCCGATCAAAGTTTTACATAGGAATATATAGGAAAAGTCTTCTCAAGAACCATCGAGACAGAAAAGATGAAACTCCTGTGGAATCATCCCCAGGTAGTGTAGGTTCAACTTTGTTCAAATCATGACCGCTGGGTGTAGGGTTGGGCCAAATGGCCGATAAGTTTTCCATAGGAATATATAGGGAAACCTTTTAAAATCTTCTTTTCAAGTACTTCAAAGCCATGCTTAGTGATATTTATAGGGAATCATCCTCAGGTAGTGTACAAATCATGACCCCCTAGGGGGGTTAAAATTCAAGCCCGCCCCCCCTCTCAGTAAACTTTCAGTTCTGATCTGTGCTTTTTCATAGCCAATTGCTCAGGTGAGCGATGTGGCCCCTGGGCCTCTTGTTCATCTTTCACTGGACACAATGGACAAATCACCCGCGTCCTCTCATATCTCATTTGAACAGAAAATGAGTCGCCCGCGTGGCGCAGCGATTAAAGCGTCTGCTCTAGAGTCGCGAAGTAAGGAGTTGATCCTCACGTCGCGGGTTCGAATCCCAATGTGGGACATGGAGACCGGTCCTTCGGATGAGACCGTTTAAACCGAGGTCCCGTGTCGCAGTAGGTGCTGGCACGAAAAAGATTCCTCCCTACTGAATGGCCCTGAGTGCCGAGCATAGGACAAAATTTGCAACTCTCCACCGGCAATTGGTGTCGTCTCCATATGAGTGAAAAATTCTCGCGAGGGACATTAAACAATATACAATCAATCAATCAATAAATTGAAAATGGTCAACGTCATAATTATAAAACATATGTACATTTACATGAACATATTAAGAGTAATAAGCACCATAACAACAATGTATGCACATGCAATTATGCTAGAGAAGAATGTGTTCACTGCAGAATAAGAGAACTTCTGTCAGTCGTCCCATAAACCAGGCTGAAGAGGAACAGCCTTTCCCTTAACCCTTTCTTCAACGGCATGGACAAGGCCGGTTAGCCTGTTATATGTTGCCTTCTCATGAATCTGTCTAAGAATACACTTGTCATAAGGAAGGATTTTAGAGTTGTAAGTAGATGATCTCAAGTAATCTAATATGCAATCAAAGTACCGAGGGTTCCTGTCCAGAAAAAATGTTTTGGTATCATTGCTCCGAGAACATAAGTCCTTGGCCACCATGGCTGACAAAATGGAACTTGGGTCGTCCTGCATCGTTTGTCGGCTAGTTTTGAATCTCCTATCCCCGACACTTAAATCTATACGTTTTTTTAATTGGATCTCCAGTCGATTTAGCATTATTTCTTTCTTGTCTGTAGGATGATATACCGACACTGTGACGTTGGCCACCTGGTATTCTAGGGCTGTATCGTTCTTGCTAACTTTTGGTTCTTCAGCACGCTCGGAAATGTCGGGACTCTCCAAGGAATTCGCTGAAGGTTCCTTGGACGAAGTGCCACTCGAGGACGATGGAGATGACTCATCGAACAGCCTCCGGTTAGCCGGCCTATCTAAGTGGAACTGGTGTTTCAGCTGGCGTATTGGCTGATGGAACCGTTATTTCTGTGGCCTTTGTCAACGCAGGTTTGTTTGTCACACGGTTTGATTCAGACAGTTTTTGTTGTTTCTAAAAGGGTTCTTGGTGGCAAACCCAGATGATCCTTTTATCTGTGTATCCCTTGTGCATGTTTGGAGTCGTTTTCTTCATAAAGGGTTCGATGAACCTAAATATGTTTCCCTGAAATTCTGCGAATTATTTCTTGTCCTCGTTATGGGTCATGGAGGACTTTTTCTACGGATAGCACTACATAGCCTCAGGGTTGTGTTTTTGGTTACGGCGGGAAAGTATGTATTTACATACAGAGACTAAATCCGAAACCGGAAGGAGTTGCTGTGAGGTGCTGCTCGACCTGCTGCTGGTGGGTGAACTTCCTACCGTCACTGAGTGTGCATTAATTTTCCGGACAAAAAGGACACACGCTGATTGGTCATAAAAGGTCATATATAGGACTCAACTTCAGCATCTCGACACTTACTCTTGACTCTACATCCCTTTGGGTTGCCAGCTAGTTCTTGAACCAAAGCCTCAGAATAAGTCCAAGGTATTCAAGATGATAAATCTTGTAGTGGATGATGCTAATTTTTATAAGGACCCGCGCGTCCGGACAAGGCAGTATTATAAGTAGAGAAATTATTCCAGTCGATTAGACCAGTAGTTTGTTTACAGTTCGAGTTATTAATTATAGTCTGTCCCACCAAGTTACTGTAAGCACTTTTCGCATAAAATCTCAAAATATATAAATACCTTGGCCTTCAACCCAGTTCCGATTGATAGATCATTTTTTTTCCAACATTCCTCCATTTATCCGAACCCTCGAGGTCAACCAGTGTAAACACACGGCGGCAAATTCAAAGTCTACGGGGATTTAACATGGTAAACTCGTCCATTAGCGTCTAGATTGCGGGGCCGGGAACCAGTTTTCGAAGGGAGTAGTCGTTCTTTGCAAAGTAAATTTCCAAAAAATCGTTAAAAATTAAAGGAATTAATTTAAATTGCTTTTATTGATAATTTAACTTTTACTTTGAATTAAATTAAATTTTAACAGCATTTAACAAATTTAATTATAAACTACGAGAAAATGATCCGAATCTAACGAAGTACAACTTGTGGATAATGGCTGTTGACATGATGATGCAAGCTCTCCAGGCCCAGTGTTTTAAACGTAAGTTGTTTATTTATTCTATGGTGGGTTTTTTTTGCAGCTGTTGTTGTTTTACTAGCTTATATACACACAAGAAAGAAGTGTCTACAAATGCTAAGAATATATATATTTCAAAACGCGTGATATTGCTGACATTAGTCTGATTAGAACAACAGCTCTCTTGTTAGTGCTCAATGGTTTACCGTTAGTGTTCTGTAACGGTCTGTATGTAAGCCCATGTGTGAAAAATGTTAAGGGGTGTTTCTATGATTATAAAAGAACACGGATATGGTTAAACAATTAGGTTAAATGATACCAAAAAAGAAAATAACAGCTAGTTAACATAGTAACTAAAGTTTAAAAAATTTTGTTCCTACTTTCATTTTCAATTTATATCATTTCATGAGTATAACATGCATTTGGCAAATAAATAACAAGCTAGAGATCAAAAGTGCATTTTTATTTTTTCATTTATTTTTTCATTCATTCAACACCCTGGGGACATCAAAACAGTTTTCAATAGATAACACATTTTGGAATATTTTTCAAAACTTTTTATAATATTAAAATGTGCATGTATTTTTTCATCAAGTCTTTGGATTGATGGATTAATGGTCATTTATGTACATGCATGCCTATTGATGAATTAATTAGCAGAACCAGGCATAAGGTAGATGAATATGTATGAACTGTTTAAGGTCCAGGATTTGGAGCAATGTCCAGGGCAAAATAGAGATTTTGAAGGGTTAAAATGAGGTCTACCAAAGCCCTGTTTCAGAAAATAGAGAAAGTAATTATATATGATTTATGCTAACATATTCAGAAAATGAGAAAGTAATTATATATGTAGCATATTCATGAAAGGAAATAGAAAAAATAAATAAAAGAACATGTCTGTATAATTTGATCAGCATAAGAAGTTTAGATAGGCTGAATCATTTCATCTGAGTACAGACTTTAAAATAAAATTGATATACATGTAACATCAGAGGGAAATTTCCATTAATACTAGCTGTCATGCACATATTCAGAGTTCAAATTCTCAGTCTCATGGTCATCTCAAAAAAAAAAATTTGATTGCCCTGTCCCAACCAACTGGCTAAAATGACTCAAAACTTCTTTTTTTAAATCTCCAGGAAGCAATTAACTTTTTTTTTATTCTAGAGAATAAATTATTTAAAATTTATAATTACTTTTTCTGAGAATAATTTTCTCATCTACCTACCTTACCTAATCCTGAGTTGGGAGAGGGCAAGACTATTTTAAAGCTGCACATGGCCTCAACAGCATCATTTTTTCTGTAAAGTCCTGTACTGCTCAAATGTGAACTTAATTTGAAAATTTCTATTTCCTTAATTCCTAGATTTTTATTTAAAGTACTTGTTTTTAAAAACCGTAGGCCATAATTAAATTATTTTTGTTTGATGTACTCTGACACACATTTTTCAAGATGGGTAGGTAGGTATCTTTTTTTCTGGCTTAATGGTATTGATCAAATTGATATCAAAGTGTCATTAAAAAATTTCAGACTCAGAAATTTATTAATATTTTCAATACACACTGGATATCTAGACATATGAAATATTTATCATTAAAAAAAATAATCTAAAAGAGTCCACAATTTTAAAAGGAAACAGTATCCATTTTTAATAAATAAACAATTTTTTTTTAAAAAAATCAAAAATTCAAAGTGCTGAAAAAATGATTGGGTTGGGACAGTTTTGATGGGTCAGTCTGAGTACATCAAAGAAATTTGTTTATATTGTTGTCCTTATTTGCTAGCACTGTATTTGGTTGACTTGAACTTTGACCTACTTTACAAAGATACCCCAGAAAATTTAAATTAACTAAAGACTTTTGAATATTCAGTGACGGGTATTGATAATTAACATTAATTATATACAAGTTTATGAGCTCATAAAACTGTTCTTTTAAACTGTATGATATTCAGTAAACCACACAAACTGATATCTTAAATATCATGAATATTATGAAAATACATTGGGATGGAATTCCACAAAGTGGATCGTGCAATGTGACAATTGCTTTGAAACATGTAACACATGTAAAATGATAAATACCGTATAAGTGGAAATTTTAGTGAGACGCAAATTTAGCGATTTTACCTAAAAAATTGGTATTTTTATTTTTAGTGAGATGTAATTTTAGTGATTTCAAAATGCCCACTAAATAAGCAATTGCAAATGGAACGCAATTATTTTTTGCGATTTTCAATTTTATCGATCTCGGCACCCTCACTATGCCAAAATTAAATCCTCGCTAAAAATTCTGCTTATACGGTAATTATTTATGATGATTTCAACTTAAAGCAGGTGACATATGTGTTTCTTGGAACACTATAGTTTATAACGAAATTGATGTCCTGTACTCTTTATGACACTTTCTCTTCTTTCAGCAATGTTAAGCTTGGTTTAGCCACTGCAGTATACAGGTATAAGGAGAGAAGCAGACCAGAAACCTTTGGCTAAAGTAAAGATGATATGCATAACAAAAGCAGTAAGTTTACTATAATGTTCAAGATCTTCAAAATATCCTGTCTTTTTTAAATACATGTATTGCGAATGATTTTTAGCTCACCTGAGCCGAAGGCTCAAGTGAGCTTTTCTGATTACATATTGTCCGGCGTCCGTCTGTCAGTCTGTCTAGCTGTCTGTCCGTCTGTCTGTCCATAAACTTTTCACATTTTCGACATCTTCTCAAGAACCGCTGGGCCAATATCAACCAAACTTGCCACAAAGTATCCTTGGATAAAAAGGATTTAAATTTGTTCAAATGAAGGGCCATGTCCTCATTCAAGGGGAGATAATTGGGAATTAATGAAAATTTGTTGGCATGTTTAAAAAATCTTCTCAAGAATTAACTAGTGCCAGGAAAGATGAAACTTATGGGGAAACATCTTCAGGTAGTGTAGATTCAAGTTTATTCAAATCATGACCCCTTGGGATAGGGCGGGGCCAAAATGGCCAAGCAAAGTTTTATATTGAAATATATAGGAAAATTCTTTATAAATCTTCTTCTCAAGAATAACAAAGCCACAATTGATCATATTTATATGGAAGCATCCTCAGGTTGTGTAGATTCAAGTTTGTTCAAATCATGACCCCCGGGGGTAGGGCGGGGCCACAATGGCCGACCAAAGTTTAACATAGAAATATATAGGAAAATTCCTTAAAAATCTTCTTCTTGAGAATAGCAAAGCTGTGATTGGTCATGGGACTACTTTTGGATTTAAGCTTTTCAATAATAAACCAATTCTACTTTTTCCTAGCCACAGTGCTCAGGTGAGCGATGTGGCCCATGGGCCTCTTGTTGAAGCTCTGAGCACCTGTCAGATGTGTATACATGTTACAAATCTTTCAAGTGTATATTTTTCCCTCAGCATTCGTAATCTTCTTCCAGAGAACCACTGGGCCAGAAAAGTTGAATCTTATGTAGAAGCATCATGGGGTGGTGTAGATTCTGAATTATTTAAATTATGACCCCTGGGGTAGGGTGGGACCACAATAGGGAACCCAAGTTTTACATTGAAATATACAAGAAAATCTATAAAAAAAATCTTCTTCTAGGGAATTACCGGTACTAGGCAAGCAAAGCTGAAACTTAGGCAAAATCATTGTGGGGTAGTGTAGATTTTAAATTGTTCAAATTATGACCACAGGGGTTAGGTTGGGTCACAAAAGGTATAACAAGGGGGAAATCTGGTAAAGAACTGCATGGTCAAAGCTATCCAGGTAATTATAAGTTATGTGGCTCATGAGCCTCTTGTTATATAAGTTGTGATATTTTACAGAAAATTTGAGAAAATAATAACTGCAAATCTGTGTCTAAGCACCTTTAATACTGCACAATCTCACCATTTGAAGGAATAAACAAACATTAATAAAAAAAATGTAATAATAACTGAAGCAAAGAATATTTGATTATACTTTTATTACTTATAAAATTATGTTTTTATAGATTGAAT